TAATCTAAATACTTAGTGTTATAACTTTCAACCTCCTCCAAATTTTGAACTATTGTATTTTCATTTTCATTCAGTTCAACATACTTTTGGTTTTCCTTCTTTGTGTTTATTTAGAAATGTGTTGTTTAGTTTCTAAGTATTTGTAGATTTTGTGTTATGTTTCTGTTGTATATTTCTAATTTGATTTCACAATGGTTAGCCAGCATCCTCTGTATGATTCCAGTTCTTTATCTTTGTTGAATTTTATTTTGTGGCCTGGAAAATTATCTATCTTTGTATATGTTCCTTGGATACATGAAAAGCATGTACATTTCTGCTGCTGTTGGGCAGACTGTTCCATAAATATTGATTAAATCATGTTGGTTGTGTTAAGTTCCTCTATATCTTGTTAATTTTCTGCTTAATACTTACGTTAATTGTTGAGAAAGGAATGTTGAAGTCTCCAACTACAATTGTGGATTTGTCTAGTTTTAATTTTTTGCATCATATATTTTGAAACTTGGATCAAGTCATATGTTTTAAAAATTGTCTGGTCCATTTATAATTATGATTGTTGTGTCTTTTTGGTAGATTCACCCTTTGACATTACATAATGTGTGGTTTTATTCCTGGTCATTTTCTTTGGTTTGAAGTCAACTTTATCTAATATTACTATAGCCCTTTTTGCTTTCTTTTGACCAACATTTGCATGATATACCTCTTCCCTCCTTTTGCTTATAATCTATGTATGTCATTATTGTTGAAGTGATTCTCTTAATTCATAACTACCCTCCCCTCCCCCTCTCAGGTGGTCATGTTTGCACACAAGCACTATTTACTGGTTTAGTGAAGTGGGTCATTTTCCTGTAACATTTTCTACATTCTCGGTATGGCTTAATTATGTTCTTACACATGTTCCTCCATTTCCTGATCTCCTGTACCCTAGCTGGTGGATCTAGAGATGAATTAGATTTAGGTTAAGATTTTTGTTAATAGTGCTGCACAGGTGGTGCTGTGTACTACGTCACGTCAGCAGGCACGTAATATGCCTGGTTTTCACTTTTAGTGTTAAGATTGATGTAGAGGGCTCAGGTGTTGTTAGCCTGTTTGAGCCATTATGAAGTTCTTTATCAGCATTCTTCCTAATGGTTCTGGCATTGATGATCCTTCGTTTCATTAGAGGCTGAAAGTGGTGATTATTTTTCTGTCATTTCTTCTGCATTTATTAGCTGGAGTTTGTCTATGAAGAATAATTTTCCCTCATAAACTATTTGGATAACTTATGATGCAATTTGTGCAGAAAGGGACAGGATAAATGGTTGTTTCTTCCTTGTTATTATTTCTAAAATAATTAGTGTCCTAGCAACTTCCAAAGGTGACCAGTGATTTTTTTTTTTAGTATCCCTTTTGAACTCAGAGTTTTAAAGATGAATCCATTGCACACTTTTGTTTTTGTTTTTCCAAATTGTCCTGTCTTTGGTGAATGAAAACTCCTTCAAGTTGCTCTGGGCTCCTTAGACTCAACCCCAGTAGCCTTTGATAACGGCCTTGTTTTTCAGTATAGTAGAATGTCCCAAGTTCGTCTTATACATTTCATGCCCCAGACCTTGAGTTACTCACTCCTCTAAGCAGTATGGTTTCTTTTAGTGGGAAATAGTATTTAAAGACCACATTACATCCTGGGACCATCATCGCTTACTGAGCTTTCATTGCTTCTAGGGTCTTTCAGTAGGAAGGTTATTTAAAAGGAGAAAATAATCATAAGCTGGAACTTATATTTGCAATTTAAATTTAAGATTATAGTATTTCTTAATATAAGAACTTTTATGGTTTTATTTTTTAAAATGTTGAAATGCTTGATTCCTAACAATATTGATATTGCTACTTGTTTTTAAAATATTATTACTAATATTATGACAATAAGGCTACTATCCAGTGAGCAGTCAAAAATCATGTTTTAAGGTTGTTTAGAATAATTGTTTTCTCTTTGTAGTTATGACACCAACTTGACAAACAGCACGGTTTACTTGTTTCACTTTTCAACCTTTAAGGATTGAATTTTTTTTAATGTTTTAAAATATATTTTAACAGCTTTATTGAGATATAATAATTCACATTCAATTCAGGATGCAATTTATCCATTTAAAGTGTACATACAATCCACAGTTTTTAGTATACTCACACACGTGTGCAATTATCACCACAGTCAGTTGTAAACATTTTCATTTCAAAAAGAAATCCCGTACCTTTTAGTTACCATTCCTCTATCCCTTCATTCCTCCCAGACCTTTGCGATGGCTAATATGCTTTTTCTCTATAGAGATTGTCCTGCTCTGGTCACTTGATGTGAATGCACTCACACAATATGTATTTTTATGTGTGTGTGACTGGCTCATTTTAATTAACAAAATGTTTTTGAGGTTTTTCCAAGTCTCTGTGATCCAAGGGAGTGCTTCAGTCTCACCCTCAGTTATGGGATTTTCACAAAAGTATCTTGTCTATGAATAATTGCTGTTAATAGTTGGTCTTTTTGTGAGTGGGACTGAAGTTGACAACTACCTATTCTACCATGTTGGTGATATCACACTTCCTATTTATAATAATTATGTATATTGTATGTGATATATTGTTAGCCTTTATTTAGTATGTCATCTTTACATTTTCTAAAATTACTTTTGGTATTTAGGACATTAATCTTTATGTTCAGCAGTTTTCTTTGTATGTAAACCCTTTTTAGTGCCTATATTTTTATTTATTGCTGTATAACAAATTACCCCAGATTAATAGGTTAAAACATATTTGTTTTCCCAGTTTCTGTAGGTCGGGAATCTAGAAGATGCTTAGTTGGGTGACTCCTACTTAGGGTCTCTCATGCATCTCCAGTCAAGCTGTTGGCCCAGACTGCAGTCATTTCAAGGCTCAACTGGGGCTGGCAACTCTGCCTTCATTCCCATGGTTGTTGGCAGGCTTGAGAAGATTCACTGCCAAGCCCACTCATGTCATTGCTGGCAGGCCTTGGTTCCTCACCACATGAGCCTCTCTATAGGTTTCATCAGCGTCCTTACAGTGTAGTAACTGGTGATCTGAGAGAGAGCCAGACAGGGCCCAAGATGGAATCAGTTCTCTTTATAACTGATCTCACACGTGGCATCCATCACTTGCGCTGCTTTATATTTGTTAGAATACCTAACTACAGCCCACATGCAAGGGGAGAAGGATTATATAAATACCTGAGTGCTTAGAAACAGGTATCATTGACTGCTATCATAGGGGCTTTCTAACATAAAACCCTTAATTCTTTTTTACTCTAAAATGGTTTGATTCCTACCTCTTATACAACCATTAATACTTTTAATCTACTTTGTGGCTTTGTTTTCTTAATTTTCATTTAAAATTGTGTCCTTTTGGTTTGATAAGCCCATTCTCTAGTGTATTCTTCAGGAAGGGAACATGTTTATAATATTGCCTGGGCTTTCCCATGTTCAAAACTCCTTTTCTGTAGCCTTGATATGATGGAAGGCGAGCTTGGTTGCTTGTAAAATCTCTGGTTCAGGCTTTTTAAAGTTTTTGGAAAATATTCCTCCTCTGTTTTCCCATTTCATGGATTGCTTCTACAAAGTGTAATGATATCTAGTTCTCTTGCTTTCATACATTATTTTGACTTTTTGTCTGGATGCTAATCTTAAAAATTCTTTCAAGTCTAGTAGTTCTTCTAAGAAATGACTCAGAGTTGTTCATTTTGGGTCAGTCTTCCTGGGTAGCCACCAATCCCTTTTGCTTGTTTTTTTATGGAAAATTTTCTTGGATTATAGTTTTAAATATTAGTTCTTCTCCTCCAGTACTTTATTTTTCTTCTTCATTGGCTCCAGTTATAGCGTGTTAGAACTTCTTTGGCTGTTTTCTATTTCAACCATCTTTTTTACCTGATTGTTTTTCTTATTTTAAAATTTCATATTCATTTCTTTGGGTGTTTTATTGCTTTATTTCATTTCATTTATTTCATTTTCATTCATATCTATTTTCCTTTATGCACTGCTTTCCCTTCCAGTTTGGTCTGGTAATGCCTTACTGTCTTTTGAACTTTTAATGATTTTAAGGTTTTGTTATTTGATGTTATATCAAGCATTTCTCCCCCACAGGGTTAAAGAATCTAGCCTGCTATTACTAAAAATAGAAATCCCTACTTAGTCATAAGTGAAAGTGTGAAAGTCATTCAGTTGTGTCCGACTCTTTGCCACCCCATGGACTGACTATACAGTCCATGGAACTCTCCAGGCCAGAATACTGGAGTAGGTAGCCTTTCCCTTCTCCAGGGGATCTTTCCAACCCAGGGGTCGAACCCAGGCCTCCTGTATTGCAGGCAGGTCTTTACCAGCTGAGCCACAAGAGAAGCCCCTACTTAGTCATAAATGGATTCCCAGAGTTGCAAATGTCCTGGTGAAGTATAAGGAAATATATTTAATGGGGAAATGTCATATTTCTTTGATTTGGAGGTATTGGGTGGCTGATTAATGCCTTATTTATTACTATAAACTTCAGAACATTTTCAGAAACGTCTTCCCCATATCATCTCATGCTGCCTTTTTCAATTCTCTGCCAGCTGTGAAGGCCTGAAGCCTTATATTTATTCTGTTTGAAGGGTGTCATGAGAGAGAATTGTCAAATAAGCAGATAAAGTGGCAAACTTATGAAGTATATTTATTGAGCAGCTTTTGTTTATCTGGGGAAGATAAAAGTACCAAAATGTAAGAGCTGCTTGTGTTTTCATGTTTTCCCTGAGCTTAGTCCCGAATCACTTGTTTTGTCTAAAAGGGATCCCAGAGTTTGGGATAAGGCTAACTCTAGACTGGCTCATGGAATAGACTTCTACAGTTGAGGCATTGGTTCCAAGTACTGGATGTATTTTTGAAGATCAGTCTTTTCTAAACCTTCCTGTATTTGAAAAAGCTTCAAAAAATGTGACCTATATTCAGAAATTAACTGCATTTGTTCTAAAACTTTTTTTTTTTTTTCATTTTTAGGTAAACAGAGGAAATAGCTAAAAATGACAAGTAGAAGTATTGAGGAGTCCATGGGGGCTGTTCATATGGGGTTAGTCAGAACACTTAAAGGATTCCAAAGCAAGATTTTACCACCCCTGAGTCCAAAGGTGGTTGCAGAAGATGAAGTAAATCAAATGGTAATGGATCAGAGCATTTCAGAGTAAAGCATCTCCTCTGAGAGGAGAAGTATCTCTCAGACAAAGTATGTTTCTCCTCTGGAGAATGACAATGGCTGCCTGGCATTCTCAGAATATCAAACAGAATATCAAATAGTCTCAGTTTAGTTCACATGGTAGCTTGCTACAGAGCATAGATACCTTTTAAAGCCTGGGAAGTTTGAAATTACATCCATCAAAGTAGAGGCTTAGATTGCTTATGTTAATCAGCTGAAGTAAGACTACACAGACAAAGCAATGAATAGTAGCTGGTCTTGGGTCAGCCCTTGCTGGGTTATTTAAATGATAGGTGACATTTTTTCTGTTAAGATTAGAAAGTGTTAAAGCATTTTATGTTCTTGTTTGGGTAAGTGGATGTGACTGGCTATTGTATCTGATGATCAGCTGAGAGCTCTTTGGAAACAAGATATGAATGTGCTCTTATGATTTCTAAAAAGTTCATACTCATTCCTAAGCTGCGCAGTCACCCTTCCCAGATCCTTTACATTTTGTTAGACTTCTCTTTAACCAGGTATAGCGTGATAAACACCCAAAAGCTTTGCTTGCATGTTGTAACTTCAGTTGAGAAATAGAAATATCTCAGACTCTTTAGCTCTGAAGCCCTTAAGTGATTTTAGAAACCTAGGGTTTTATGCTCTTCTGAGCATAACTGTTAAGCTCACTGGACATGCTCCTGTGCAGTTTATTGCCCTTCCTCTCCCCAACCCCATGTTCTTTTGTGTGATTCCTTTAAAATCACAAGGAAACGGCAACCATATGTCATTTCAAATTATTGTGCAGAAAGCTCAGAAGTGCATGGGTCCTTCACTTGTTTGTATTATTTAGTTATTTTAAATGTTTTATAAGGGAACTTAACGGCATTCCAGAATTATCCTGAAAGCTATAAATACAAATTATTCATTACTGGCACTTAGAAAAAACACTTTTTCAGTATTACCACTTATGAATCTTCAGCTCCTGTTGTTTTCAATTCTAGCTGACACCCTCGGAGTTTCTGAAGGAAATGTCCCTTACCACAGAGCAGAGACTGGCCAACACCCGTGTGATGTGCCGACCGCAGATCATTGAACTTTTAGATATGAGGGAAACAACACATCAAAAGGTAGCTGCTTTCTGTTGTATTTGTGTATAAAAGTAGATCCTGGAATAATATGACTATTCTAAAACAGTAAGAACTATGCAGCACTTATTGTTCATGGGCTAACTAATCCCTTATTGGATTTGTTTTATATATTCTTTTTCTACCTCTGTTGATGTTGGTATCTATAATTTGATACCAAGAATTGCAGAGTATAAATAACTTTTGATTAGTCACATTTCTTCCTTAGCTACTTCTGAACACTATGGTTTACAGAGGAAGAGTAATCCTGAGAGTTATATTAGTCAAGCCCAGTTAGGTTATCTTTCTAGAAAAAGAAGTCCCTGCTCAACTGAGTTGTCATTAGTAGAAAGGAAGAAGGAGAAATTGTTTATTAAAACAGGCATTTTTGTCTGTTCTGGCTCATTTCCAATAATAAATACATCCTTTTAGTCTGTAAAGAATAGCTATTTTGATGTTTCTGTATTTGAATGTAAACCATGTAGTCCAGGCTTTAGGAACATGTTTTTAGAGTGGGTCTTATTTCCTACTTTTAATTTCTTGAATTCTATGCTTCAGTTTTTATGCACAAATTATGGTATGAGCCTCCCTTAGGTGAACTCCTGGAGATTAGCCCACCTCTCAAAGGGTTCCTGGCTCTTCCTGAGGGTTTTTCAGAGTGATTTCCCTCAAGAGGAGTGATTGCCTCAGGCTGTTTCGCTTTCCTTGGCATGCCATTGCCTCTCCTGTCTAGGATATGCATACAATTTACTCTTTTTCTGAGCACTGCCAGCTTTAGTTATTCATAGCTTCGTCTTTTTCCAACAGCCACCCTCTAACTTCAAGGGCAGGGAACACAGCTTCGTCCAAAGCTAGTTCATCTTGATTAAGGGCTATCTGCTTCTTTCCCAGAGCATAACTGAAACCAGACTGTGTGTATTGCTGTGTGTGTTACTGTTTGTGTATGTGTTTTAATGTATTTTGACTGAGGCTCTTAGTGTACCACATCTCATCTTCTTTCTTCTATCTTCTGTTAACTCAGTCAGTTATTTTTTACTTTATTTTCCTGAGTTTCGTTTGTTTCTTATTTAGATGAGAGTCATACCCTTCTCAGGAGAAGGCAATGGCACCCCACTCCAGTACTCTTGCCTGGAAAATCCCATGGACGGAGCAGCCTGGGAGGCTGCAGTCCATGGGGTCGCTAAGAGTCGGACACGACTGAGCGACTTCACTTTCACTTTTCACTTTCATGCATTGGAGAAGGAAATGGCAACCCACTCCAGTGTTCTTGCCTGGAGAATCGCAGGGACGGCGGAGCCTGGTGGGCTGCCATCTATGGGGTCGCCCAGAGTCGGACACGACTGAAGTGACTTAGCAGCAGCAGCATACCCTTCTCATTTCCTCAAGAAGAGATTATGGAAACTGTATTTCCTTTATTTTATATCTTTGACAATAATTGCTTATTGCCTTTAGAGGTGAACTGTAGACTTGTTGGATGTACAATTCTTGGGCCACCTGTTTTCCCTATAAGAGCTTTGCAGGCATTTTCTATACTACCTTCTGGTTTTAAATGACAAATATTGAGGAAAAAAGTGAAAGTGAAAGTTGCTCAGTCGTGTCCGACTCTTTGCAACCCCATAGACCTAGTCCATGGATTTCTCCAGGCCAGAATACTAGAGTGGGTAGCCTTTCCTTTCTGCAGGGGATCTTCGCAAACCAGGGATCAAACGCGGGTCTCCCACACTGGGGGCAGATTCTTTACCAGCTGAGCCACAAAGGAAGGCCAAAAATACTGGAGTGGGTAGCCTATCCCTTCTCCAGTGGATCTTCCTGACCCAGGAATCAAACCATGGTCTCCTGCATTGCAGGTGGATTCTTTATTAGCTGAGCTATAATATTAACTTGTTTGCTCAAAGATTGTTTATTCTTATTTGATATCCAGTGATTTTATTAGGGAGGCTTCCCAGGTGGCGCTAGTGGTAAAGAACCTGCCCGCCAGTGCAGGAGACGTAAGAGATGTGGGTTCAATCCCTGAGTCAGGAAGATCCCCTAAAGGAGAAGATGACAACTCACTCCAGTGTTCTTGCCTGGGAAATCCCAAGGAGAGAGGAACCTGGTGGGTTATGGTCCACCATTGGGTCGCACAGAGTCAAACTTAGCATGCATGCGGCATGCACGTTATTAGGATGTGACTAAATTTTTCCTAAAATATTATATCTGTTTTATTTTTGCTAGAAAGCTTTTCTTGGGTTATCAAGTAGTCATGCCTTTTTTTTTTCTTTAGAAATATCAGTTGTGAAGATGTTGTATCTTCTTTGCCCTTCTACAACTTGTATTTCCTCTCCAATCCATTTTAAACTTTGTTCATTCCCATTTCATTGTAATTACACTTGTCAGCATCCTCTGTATCCCTTACTTTGAGGTGTGTGTATGTCTTAAAATTCATTCTTAAGCTTGATCAGTTCAACACAGTTGGGTTGTCTCACAGCATTTTACATAGTTAGTGTCTTTTTTGTACCTTTTAATTCACTTTTGTCTCAGATATCATATCACAGTCCTTTGGCTTTCTTCCTACTTCACTGGTTGCTTTTTTATTATTTTATTTGCTGGCTCTTTCTCCTTTTGCTAATCACTAAACATTGGAGCTCCCCAGCACTTGCTCTTTAAACTTCTTTCTCTTCTGCACTCAATCCTGAGGTGGCCCCTTCTAGGAACGAGGTTTTAAATTTCCCCTTTTAAATGATTACTTTCTTTTTTTTTTTTTCATTTATTTTTATTAGTTGGAGGCTAATTACTTTGCAATATTGTAGTGGTTTTTTAAATGATTACTTTCATAATTTTATCTCCTACTGTGGTCTAGCCCCGGAACTCTGGATCATATATTCAGCTCAGTGTATGATTGGCAGGTCAAACTTAAAATCTTTAAGATCTAATCTTTGCATTACATTCTTTCCCTAAGACATGATCTCTCCTCCCTTCACCATGTAATACCTCCATTGATCTGTTTTCCCAGGCCAAAAACCTTGGTGTTATCTCTGATGCCTCTGTTTTTCTCACGTCTTATGTGAAATCCAACAAGGGCTGGTAATCACAAATACATCTCTATAATCACACCACTTCTCACCACCTCTACCACCACCATCCTGTTCAACCCATCATCATCTAGACTCCAAAAATAGCTTCCCTGTTTCCCTCTGATCACCCCATTATCAGTTCTCCACAAAGAAGAGTGATTTTTTAAAATGTAAACTAGAACATGTTGCTTCCATATTGAAAACTACCGAGGAGCTTCCTGTTACCCTCATAATGATAAAGTCCTGCATCATCTGATTCTGCATCCTTCGTAGTCTTTTCCTTTGTCTCTTCCCCAGCTCATTCTCCTCTAACTGCACCTCCTTTTGCTGCTTTTGAAACACTCAAAGATAATTCTTACCCTAGGGTCTTTGCACTTGTTATTCCTTCTAACTGGAATGCTGTTTTCTCAGATCTTTGCATGACTTACTTCAATTCAAATCATTTCCATAGAGAGGCCATCCCTTGACTGCCTATCCCCATTCACTCCGTCTCCTTTTCCTGCTTTGGCTTTCTTTATAGCTTTAACACTGCCAGACCTTGCTTTATGTATTTTTATTTTTTATCCATTTCCTCAAGAATTTTAGCTTCATGAGGCAATGATTTTATTGGCTTTGTTCACTACTGTATGTTCAACATATGGAAAGCATTAGAAATTCAATTAGCATTTATTGAATTAGTGCTTGAATTTTTCATCGCTTTTGATTGCTTAATCTTCCCTGAACTCTTGAATATTTGCTTTGTGTGCTCTGATTTTTTTTCCAATATGTTCTTTGAGCTTATGATGAAGTGGTATAGTTAAGATTCTTATTATTTTCATGGCAACCAGAAAAGTGAATATTCATTTGACATTTTCTTTGCTTCCCTTTTTTTGGTGAGTGTTTTTGTATAGATACTGGCTTATTTGTCATTGTGATTATTATTATCACTCATCTTTGAAATAAAGAAGGGAATTCTTCCTGGACTTGCTGTTTTCAGGTAGTTATTGTTGAGGCAGGGCTGGTAGTGTTGCAGTCCAATAGGAATTCTCCATGATTCTAGGGGCAGCTCTTTATGAAAGAGGATTGTATGTGTGTGCTTATTTGGAAGGGGGATGAGAAAAAGGGAGGAGTTGTGACAGAATTGTGTTAGCCTTTTCTTCCCCCCAGAGTTTCTCAGCTATGAGTCTTCTAGCCTGTCTAAATGATGGACTCTTCCTATAAATATGCATATTAATGTATTTTCCATACACCTGTCGTGGTTCAGTGTAGATTTTCTTTTTCTTTCTTTTAAAATAAAGTGATTTTGTATTTCTTCCCACTAGGGAAGTCCATAGAGTTTCTTTAGTTTCTCTCAATAATGGTTTGTAGATTTTCCAGATAAAGGTCTTACACATCTTTCATTGGATTTATTCCTATGTATTTTATGTTTTAGAATGTGGTTTTCAATGGTATTGTTTATAAATTTCATTTCCTAAATGTTCATTGCTAGTACAAAGAAATATAAGTGATTTATGTTGACCTTTTATTCAGTGACCTTGATAAGTCACTTATCAATTCTAATTGATAGATTATTTTGAATTTTTAAAAATTAATTGATTGTAATTGGAGGATAATTACTTTACAATATTGTGATGGTTCTTTGTCTTACATCAACATGGATCAGCCACAGGTATGCGTGTGTCCCCTCATCCTGGACCCCCTCCCACCTCCCGCACCACGCGCTCTCTGGGGTGTCCCAGAGCACCAGCTCTGGGTGCCCTGCTTCATGCACTGGAGTCGTACTGGTCATCTGTTTTACGTGCGATAATGTATATGTTTCAGTGCTGTTCTCTCAGTTCACCCCGCCCTCGCCTTCTCCCACCGAAGCCTAAAGTCTGTTCTCTACGTCTGTGTCTCCTTTGCTGCCCTGCATGTAGGACCATCAGTACCATCTTTCTAAATTCCACATGTGTGCATTAATTTACAGTGTTTGTCAATCTGTTACTCCTTTTAAGGTGCTTCCTTGGTTCTTATGTTAATAATCATAGGTATGTGTAGTAATTTCTTATCTTTTCCAGTCATTTCTGCTGCTTTGTGATTATATGATTAATTTATTCTTTCAACTGTAGTTTCCAGGAATTGACCTGGATCAGGCGTTATTCCAGCCCTTTCCATCAGAAATCATATTTCAGAACTATACTCCCTGTGAAGTCTATGAGGTTCCACTGGTTTTGAGGAACAATGACACAGTGAGTATGTTTTCTGGGATGGCTGTACCTTTTATGGATATATAAGAAGGGATTAGATAGAATGGGATCCTGTAAGATCTTAGATAAGCTCTTTAATTTGATAGACCTAGGAAAATAGATGAAGACATGCCCTTTGATGATGAGCTTAATGAAGTTAGGACTATACTGGTTGGTTTGTTGCTAAATGCTCAGTCCCAGGGCAGTACCCAGTAAATGGTAAACTCCCACCATGTGCACTAAGTATTCTGTTGAATAAAGGATTAGCTAGATGAGTGTCATGGAGTTCTCACCAGTGACCATTTGGGCTAGGTTTTCATTTAAGACAGTGCCATTACTATTCATGTTTACATACTCCACATTAGAACCACTGTTTCCCACTATTATAGCCACAAATTCTAGCTGTAATAAAGGAGGGAAATTAAGTGAACTCTCTGCAAGAATTAAAGGCAAATGGGAAGACTTGCAGTTATATTCACTGCAGTAGCTCATTAAAGGAATCCGTGATGCCTTTCAGAGAAGGTATCAAGTCTACTCATATGAATTGCAGTTGTTGAGCCAATGCGTTTAGATTATGCAAATTATAAAAAAAAAAACTTCAAAAAAGAAGTTCCCATTTTCTCTTTTCCAGCTCCCCGCTTCTACCTCAGATAGCCTTCAGAATCTGTCTCCATATAGATTTGGATGGCTTCTTGAACTCTCTGTTCCTTATTTCTTTGTGGTTGCAACTGAGGATTTCTTCTCCATCATAATGCCTTTTCCCTTCAGAGATAAATTAGGGTTTATTTCATGAAAGAGTATTAAATGACTGAAGATTTTCTTGTCATATAACAGTGATGAAAGAAAGAATAATGCAGAATGTCAGCCTGAAGCACAGTTAAGCATGAAAAGTAATCAGATAGTAAGGAAGGCATTAGAGAGATGCTAAATACCAGGTGACAGAGTGCCTGATAAACTATGGATGGAGGTTCATGACATTGTACAGGAGACAGGGATCAAGACCATCACCATGGAAAGGAAATGCAAAAAGGCAAAATAGTTGTCTGAGGAGGCCTTACAAATAGCTGTGAAAAGAGGAGAAGTGAAAAGCAAAGGAGAAAAGGAAAGATATTCCCATTTGAATGCAGAGTTCCAAAGAATAGCAAGGAGAGAAGAAAGCCTTCCCTAGCGATCATTGCAAAGAAATAGAGGAATAGGAAAGACGAGAGATCTCTTCAAAGACAAAGATCTTCTCTTCTTCTCTTCAAGAAAATTAGAGATACCAAGGGAACATTTCATGTAAAGATGGGTTCGATAAAGGGCAGAAATGGTATGAACCTACCAGAAGCAGAAGATATTAAGAAGAGGTGGCAAGAATACACAGAAGAACTGTACAAAAAAGATTTTCACAACCCAGATAATCACGATGGTGTGGTCACTCACCTAGAGCCAGACATCCTGGATTGTGAAGTTAAGTGGGCCTTAGAAAGCATCACTACGAACAAAGCTGGTGAAGGTGATGAAATTTCAGTTGAGCTATTTCAGATCCTGAAAGATGATGCTGTGAAAGTGCTGCACTCAATATGCCAGCAAATTTGGAAGAGTCAGCAGTGGCCACAGGACTGGAAAAGGTCAGTTTTCATTCCAATCCCAAAGAAAGCCAATGCCAAAGAAAGTTCAAACTACCGCACAATTGCACTCATCTCACACGCTAGTAAAGTAATGCTCAAAATTCTCCAATTCAGGCTTCAGCAATATGTGAACCGTGAACTTCCAGATGTTCAAGCTGGATTTAGAAAGGTAGAGGAACCAGAGATCAAATTGCCAACATCCACTGGATCATTGAAAAAGCAAGAAAGTTCTAGAAAAACATTTATTTCTGCTTTATTGACTATGCCAAAGCCTTTGACTGTGTGGATCACAATAAACTGTGGAAAATTGTTCAAGAGATGGGAATACCAGACCACCTGANTGAAGCTGAAACTCCAATACTTTGGCCACCTCATGCGAAGAGTTGACTCATTGGAAAAGACCCTGATGCTGGGAGGGATTGGGGGCAGGAGGAAAAGGGGACAACAGAGGATGAGATGGCTGGATGGCATCACCAACTCGATGGATATGAGTTTGAGTAAACTCTGGGAGTTGGTGATGGACAGGGAGGCCTGGTGTGCTGTGATTCTTGGGGTCGCAAAGAGTCAAACACGACTGAGTGACTGAGCTGAACTGAACTGAAATATCAGGTGTTAATGACAAGTAGAAATACTTATAGGAGACTTAGAACATTGAGACAAAAATTCTAGCTATAATAAAAGTGGGAAATTAAGTGAAGACTATGCAAGAATTCAAAGCAAATGAGAAGACTTGCAGTTATATTTACTACAGTAACTGATTAAAGGAATCAGTGATGCCTTTCAGAGATCAATGAGGTTATTTAGTGACAGCAAAGTCAGACTTTAGAAGATGGAAATTTAGTTCTTCACTTCAGGAGAGTTAGCAAGAGAAGCTCATGGGATGGAAGCTAAAGGGTAGGCAGAGAGAAGAAAAAGAACCTGAGATGTTTATAATCAGGTTCGTATATCTCAAGAAGAGATCAGTTACATAGGGCTGCCAACCAGTTTAGTGTCTTATTTTGAGTTCTCTTTTTCCGTTTCTCCACTACTTTTTGACTCTTGTTCAAGCTTTTTTAGCCTATCAAAGGCAGAGAGGACCTAGAACAAAAGTTGCTCCTCCCTGGCCATCAACAAGAAATGATTGCCAGTGGGTGTATGCGAGCATGTCAAGAATAAGAGTGCTAGCCTTTTCTACCAAAGGACACTCAGTTCTTGTGGATAAAACCCACACCTCTTGGTCAGATGCTATTGGAGTATTGGACCCCATGATAAGAAGGTCTTCATCCAAGGAAGTTCAGCTGCCAACAAGCAGACAGGTTCTCTAGGCCAGGCAGGCTTGTTCTTGGTGAGTTAATCCCGGGACCCTTGTACGAGGTGGCTGATGTAAGCCTGCTTCTCTACTTCCTATTTCATGAAGGAACCACTGAGATAAATTTAGGACACTGAAAAATGCTCTCTGTGTCACTCACCTTTTGCTTCCTCACTGGCTTGGAATGCCAAAGACAGAGCCTGTTTGGTTGTTATTCTTCTATCTCCTGAACACACAAGTTGAAAGTAAGCCATGAACACTCTACAAGCCACAACACAATTCACTTGGGGTACAATTATAAGCACCCAGACTCCAGAGTCAGATGAATCTGGGATCAGATTCCAGGCGGGCACTCTCCTAGCTGTAGACTTTGGGCAAGTCACTTCACTTCTCCAAGCTATGGGGATAATAATTGCACCCATTTCAATAGGTTGTTTGGAATATTAAATGAAATAATGGATGTAAAGTATTCAGCTCAGTGCCTGTCATTAGTAAGCACTAAAGCAGTGTTAGTATTATTACCAGTGTTGCTGTTGCTTTCCTTTCTAGTTTTTAATCCACAGTTATGATCTTACTACAAGTATTCCCAACAAGCTTATATGACATCATTCAACACATCACGAATGCCATTGAACTTTTCTCTTAATAGCAAAGCCAGTTCTATTCCTATCAGATAGGCACACATCTCTTTCTTACCTCCCCAGTCTCTAGTCTTAAGATCTGTCTGAATTCTCTCTGCATTTCTTCTTCCCTTCCACATCTGGGCTCCAGCATGAGAGGCTGTGGGGTTTCTTATTTCCTCATTTTCCACCTGAGACTCCTAGGACAGACTTAGCTATAGTTAACTTTCTTCTGCTGCCTTTAAATCTTTTTTTTTTTTTTCTTAAAAAAAAAAAAATCCTCTCCTATTCCTGTGTCCCTAGAACCTCTACCTCTGAACCACACCTCTTCTCACAGTTACATTTCCTTAGTTGCTGGGGGCTCTCCAAAATAGGTGTATGTGCTCTGGGTGAGGCAAGCAGGGCAGAAGAATAAGACTTTAAAAGGATGGAATTGTTTGAACCTGCTCTGAGACTGGCCTTGGGGATCTTCTACCTCCCTCTATGTTCTTGCTTCACAGTAGTGTTGGGTAGGGCAATCCTGTAGGGAAGGGAGGTAGAGTTAGTCCAGGATTTGATTCTGAACACCATTGCTTGGAAAAGCTGTAACTCTTAGGGCAAGTGTCTGTTTCCTCATCTGAAGAATGAATTGTAATGAAGCTCAAAGGTTATTGCGAGGATCAAGTGGTGCCTCGTGTACAGTGGGTGAGCCACAGCAGGAGTGCAGTGTGATTTCTTCTCCCAGAGCAGTTCTCAGGTGTTAAAAAGCCCAGTGCAGCTCCCCAATGTAGGTGGGGTTTTAGACGGTAAAGCAGTTAGTTTTCAAAAATAGTCACATTTAAATAATAAAACAAAAATTTTCAATAACAGTGCCCATTATTGGGTTTTTTCTTGCAGATTCCAAGGATGGTGAAAGTTGTTGAGGAAAGTTCACCTTACTTTAAAGTAATCAGCCCCAAAGGTATCAGCCACAAAGTCGCTCCAGGAGTGCCATCCGTGTTCCGAATCCTCTTTACTCCAGAGGAAAACAAGGTAACAGCAGCGCTGGCAAGACAGTGGTTGAATGCTTGTCCTGGCAGTTTGCAACTCGGAGCATTCACGGAGGTGGTGGTGGGGGTGCTAGTTGTGTTGTCGATGGTGTTGGCGTCACTGATGGTGTTACTGGTGGTGGTGGTGGGAGGAATGGTCAGGGTGGGTGAGAGGAGGGGTGGGGCACCCCTGGGAACAGGAAAGGACTGCCAAACAGTGATGAGGGCTTACATGAGCTGCAGGTAGCCAGACTGTGAAGAAAAGTAGCCTTCTGGATGCTTCGCTGGCACCTACCTCAGCATATTTATGTTGGACTGTGCAGCTGGAGAGACACCAAAAAGGGAAAGATGTGGTCTGGGTGTAGTGAGCTGAGACTAAGGATAGAGATCATGGCTTCTTGGAAGTTTGGGATCCTAGTTAGTTACATCGTCCCTTCCCACCTTGTAACTAGTTTAGGAAAGAGACCTAAGATTCAAATGCTGATCACAGTATCGGTCTCACTAATGGCAAAGAATGTGACCGGGGCTTGAGGCCCAGAGAAGGCCTCCTTCTGCTCCCTAGTGATGGTGGATAACCAGTCCTTGGGGAAGGGCTCATCTCACCAGTAGCTCCGCCCAAGAGCAAGTGGGGCAGCTAGAGCCGAAAGCATAGGCCCACCCTGTCTTCTTACCCCTGTCTGCACAGAGCCTGCGTCCAAACAGAAGCCATTTCCGCACAGCAACACCACAGCCATCAGGCATCTAGCCCATTTTCAGGCTCTCTCTCCTCAGGTGTGTAAATTCCAGTTACTTCTGGAAGGAAGAACTAGCTTGAGGGACAGAGGGAGGGTGGCTTCTTCCCACTCCTTCTCCAAGAGTGCAAGATTGTGGGTTGAGTTTTCCTCTGTAAGGGGCAAAGTGGAGACTTGTGTGGAAGAGAAAAGGATTTTGCCAGCATGACTGAAGGAACAAGGACAAAACAAAACAACACACCAAGGCTAAAGTAGGCGTAACAAAATGTCACTTTATATGTGATGTTAATAGCGTGTATGCTTATCTGTGTTGTGCTATTATTACACGTGGAATCAGAAGAACGTAATGGAGATAGTGAACTAGCTTTGAATCCCTTCTTCTCGATCACTAATACTTTCTAGCTGCTGTGAATGTCATTAGCGGTGTTCCTGCTGCTGTTGCTACTGTTTCTGCTTTTCTAGAGAGCAGGGATAGAGGATTTAATGTGATCTGCCAAGTATGGACCCCTGCAGTGAGTGGTTAGAAATTTCATTATATAATACTGCTGTTATTATTTTTCCACTTTGTGGTATTACTGTTCATTTCTTGGATTGTGTTTATGAACTTTTAATTTTGTTTGGGGTGTTACTGGAATAAACAAAAAGATAAATAGCTCCAGAAGTAGTGCTTTTTGCTGTATGTTATTGAAGTCCTGATTTTTTTTTCCTCCAGGTTCTATATCTGAATATTATCTGTGAAGAGAATGGTTGGATTTAGTTTGGGGTCAAATTCCTACTGTCATTTTATTATAAAAACTGGCTATAGTAAGCCTTTGTGCAGCTTGAAATATAAAGCTTGCTGGATTCGAGGGGTTGGCTTTCCTTAATTTTTTTTCTGTGCTGGAGAAAAAAAAATGTCTTCTGTTGAATAAGTGTTATTCTACCTGTAGGCAGTCTGACTGAGAAAGAGATACACAGAACTTTCTGAAGAGGCGGAATGTGCTGTGTCATCACAGGTGTGTGGGTTCCATGGATGAATTCATTTGTCAAAGTTGTACACTCAGTATTTATGCTTTCTAAATATCTAAATTTTACCTTAAAAACTTAAAAATGTAATAATAGCAATAGAAAGGTGAATGGATAGAGGTACAGATGAAGCCAGAAGGACAGAACGTTAGTTACTGTTGAATCTGGATGATGAGTACATGGGGTTTGTTCTACTCTTCTGTTTTATTTATAAATGTCTTAAATTTCCCCTCATCAAAAACTGAAAGCAAAGGGAGAGATTTTTAGAACTACTTATCTATACAGCAAATAATATATTTTAAGTGAGTTTGTACCTGCTTTATAAACATGAAATGCCAGCATTCCCACTGAGGATTACTCCATGGCTGTGTTTTGTGGCTGCTTATCTTACTCCTACCTTTTTTTATTCCCTCTTACCATTCCATTTCACCAACATTTCCTGTGGTCTGTTGGGAAACCCCTAATTAAAAATAAATCAGTTAAATGTTTCTTTAGTATTTCTTCCGAGTATTTGAAAGTTATCAAGGGTTACATGCATGTGTGAGAGGAGATAGACTGAGAGTAATGGCTGACTATGAGAAATTTATACCATTTTCAGTACATTAGGATTTTGTGTTGGATTGGGCTCTAAGCTGTGAAATAATTGACATAATATGTGTTTCTGAGGACATAGTGGTTTCTCCTTTTACTGACTGTCTAGCACTAATGGTGGGTATTTGGGGAAGCACCTGCTGCTAGTTTTGGTCCCCATTTTTCCACAAAGATCCTGCCATCCTGCACCATCAGCAGGGCCCCATTGCAGTAGGTTTTCTGGTCATCTGGGCATCTATATTCACTCTTAACTGTTGGAACACAGAACAACCAGCTAGGGTTAGTCCTGCTGTCTTCAGTGCTGATCCAGAATGTAGCAAAGCAGTAGCAAGACCAGATTTATTTTAGGAGGAATAAAAGTCAATCTTTTCACTGTGTCACTTTCTCCACTTGGCCAAATTGATAGCCAAAGTGTATTTGTGTTTTTCCTCCTACCCACTGCTGATCTGAACACACTTCATTCTCATTTACCCTCCTCACATCTGGAGGGTGAGATATGTAAATTGCAGCATGCCACAGTTTAATAAGCCAGTCCTCTTTCAATTGAATTTTCAGCCCCCTTTGTATATTAGCATGTCGAAGATTATAATGCAGTATACGTTTTTTTTTCCTGTCATCTATTAATCTAGCTTCCTGGAGATTTAACTTGTTAAGGGTGCCAAATACCCAGATAACAGGTGCAGCAAATTCATTTCAGCTTTCCTTATCTCTTTTCACACAGAGTTGAAAAAAAGATTGGATATGTTATTTATCTAATAATCCTAGTGTACATGTCATGGAAAGTAGAAATATAGGAGTCAGTGTTATCATAACACTATAAAATTCTGGAGCCTGGCATTTTTCTTGACTTCTTAAATTTGTATCTTTACTATTAAAAAGAGTATAAGAAATACTAGGCTTTTGTAGGAAAGAAAAACTGGGTACATCCTTGGACTTAAGACAGCTTCAGTTTGCAATAGTGTTGGCATATGAAAATGGCAGCAGTGGTTTACAGAAAATATGAAGTGATCCATTTTTTTTTTTGCTCAGTTGTGTTTTAAGAAAATACCTAGCTTGTTGTCAAAATAGTTTTCTTGGTTTGTTACTATGAAATTTAAAGAACATGGCCCAAGAAGAATAGAAAACCATTACAATAATTTGTTATCCAGGTGTACATATTTTTTGAAAAAGTTTTAAAATTTTTAATTGGAGAATAATTGCTTCACAATGTTGTATTGGTTTCTGCCCTACAGCAATGCACACCAACTGTAAGTATGCTGTAGTGCTAGCATTTTGAATTGGAATATAGATGTTATAAGATTTGCCACAATCAGCAATTCTTGTTGACAAAAACAATGATAGGGATTTAGTTTTCTTTCTGCCTCGAATTTGCCCTCCTTGGTTCTGTCTAAGTTCCCCTTGTAATCCAGGTGCTTAGCATAGGGCCTAACACACAGCAAATTGCGGTTAATATTTGAAAAGTGAGATAAGTAAGTTCATCTCAAGAAAATAAAACATAGTTTCTTCAACTTGAGGATGGCCTAAAGATGATAAAAGCAAAGGCATAAAAAAACGGGGCTCAAATATCTTTTCGTGCCATCGATGTATTCAGTTCAGTTCGGTTGCTCAGTCATGTCCGACCCTTTGCAACCCCATGGACTGCAGCATGCCAGGCTTCTCTGTCCATCACCAGCTCCTGGAGCTTGCTCAGACTCATGTCCATCAACTCGGTGATGCCATCCAACTATCATCCTCTGTCGTCCCCTTCTCCTCCTTCCTTCAGTCTTTCCCAGCATCAGGGTCTTTTCCAGTGAGTCAGTTCTTTGCATCAGGTGGCCGAAGTATTGGAGTTTCAGCTTCAGCATCAGTCCTTCCAATGAATATTCAGGACTGATTTCCTTTAGGATGGACTGGTTTGATCTCTTTGCAGTCCAAGGGACTCTCAAGAGTGAACACCACAGTTCAAAAGCATCATTCTTCGACGCTCAGCTTTCTTTATGGTCCAACTCTCTCTCACATTCATACATGACTACTGGAAAAACCATAGCTTTGACTAGACAGACCTTTGTCAGCAAAGTATTAGATGTATCAGTGTATTATATGTTAACTTTTCCCCTGTCTTTTCAACCAGGAGAAAGATGTCTAAGAAGTCTTCTTTAAAAGTGTTTCTCCCTACTTTGTTTCATATCTTCGTAGTGAGTCACATCACTATTTTCTAGCTTTCTGGATTTGATAAATGTCATTTTGTAATATGGGTAATGAGATGCTCAGGCACTCTCTATATTAATAACACTTGATAGGGTAGCATCCAAATAAAGATATTAATATGAATATTATTTCACTCGCTCTATACCAGGCTCAGTGCTATAAGCCAGGATCTAGTGGAGAATAGCAGAAGCTTGGCCTTTCTGGGCCTTATTCATTCCACAATGAATAAACAGACATATCGTTTAATATAAGAGAGTGGCATGATAGAGAACAGAGAGTGGTAGAGAATGGAGACTGTTTCCTTTCAGTAGGAAGATCAGGAGAGACTTCTTCAATGAGGTAACTTTTGGGTAGAGAGCTGAACTGGGCAGATATTGTTGTCTGGGAGCAGAGCATCACTTATGGAGGGCCTGTGACAGAAGCATGTCTGGCAGCAGGTCAGGGAAGTGGGTGGCCAGTGTGACTGGACGAGAGGAAACTGCTCAGAAAA